TAGAACAGGAGTAGAGTAGAGTAGAGTAGAATAGAATAGAATAGAATAGAATAGAATAGAATAGAATAGAATAGAATAGAATAGAATAGAATAGAATAGAATAGAACAGGAGTAGAGTAGAGTAGAGTAGAGTAGAGTAGAGTAGAGTAGAGTAGAGTAGAGTAGAGTAGAATAGAATGCTGCGCGAGCTGCACTGGTTGCCAGTGGCCTTCCGGGTGCGCTTTAAGGTGTTAGTTACCACCTTTAAAGCGCTTCATGGCATAGGACCCGGTTACCTCCGAGACCGCCTTCTGCCGCAGATTCCTTCCCACAGACCGGTACGCTCCCACAGAGTGGGTCTCCTCAGGGTGCCGTCGGCCAAGCAGTGTCGGCTGGCNTGTCTGAAGCCAAGATTTGGAGCTTAGACTGGATGTGATGCTTCATGAAATAATAAAAACAATGATAACCTGGGCAGACATTTGTTTTTCTTCAAGTGACCCTGAACTGGAGATTACACCATTTTTAAATTACTGCATCTCTCATTAGGAGCACCAGTATCAATATTTCTTTACTAAATATATATTCGGGAGAAATGGGGCAGTTGAAATCCTAAGGGTCATCCAGAAAGTATGGAACAAAATTGCTTTTTTAAATGGTCTAATGCTTATATTCCTTTGTCTGCCTCCTGTTATGATTAATTCAGTATCTTTGCCTGGTAATTCTGTTGAAGAGCAGGTTAAATAAGGCTAACATTTGTTCTGTATTCTCTGCTTTGGCTAGGATGTGTTTCCTAACAAAGCTGATTTTTTTTTTCCCCTCAGAGTTGGAGAAATGATTTACGTTCTTCATAATTCCCTTCCCAACGTTGCCACTGATTTATTTATTTTTTATTTTTTTAAATCCCCGATCTTCCAGCAGGGCATTGTAAAGACTTTCTGCCTCTGCAGAGTTTTGGAAATACCAAAATGGAGAAAGAAGGAAACCACTTTCTGTGGTAAAATGGTTTTTTACATGGACTGGCCTTTTCTCTTAAGTGCAGAGAAGAGCAACAAAGATGATCAGGGGACTGGAGGCCAAAACATATAAGGAACGGTTGCTGGAATTGGGTTTTATGAAGAAGGGGGACATGATAGCAGTGTTCCAATATCTCAGGGGCTGCCCCAAAGAAGAGGGAGTCAAGCTATTCTTCAAAGCACCTGAAGGCAGGACAAGAAGCAATGGATGGAAACTAATAGAGAGAAGCAACCTAGAACTGAGGAGTTAGAACAATTAATCAGTGGAACGACTTGCCTCCAGAAGTTGTGGGTGCTCTTACACTGGAAGTTTTAAGAAGAGACTGGACAACCATTTGTTTGAAATGGTATAGAGTTGCCTGCTTGAGCAGGGGTTGGACTAGAAGACCTCCAAAGTCCCTTCCAACTCTGTTATTCTGTTATTCTATGTAGCTGCTGGAGTCATATTGGGTTTTTATCAAGGATTTTTAAGGCTATCTCATTTCTATTTTAAACCCTCAACTTAAATAACCTCGGCACAGACTTCTGTCACTGCTATCCTTCTAGAAAATTGCATTAGGCACTCATTTCTCCAAACCAAAACCCGAGACAAGCAAAACAGGAAGAATGGATGGATGTAGACCCACGGAGATGGAGGGAAAGTCTTGTGAATGCATCACCGAACTTGCCAAAGGGAGTGAATAAAATATTTTTAGACGTACTCCATCTCTTGAGTTCTAAAAAGAAAAATCAGCAATCGGCAGCAGTTTTCCGAATACAGAAGAGTTGAGTAGATACATTGAGTAGTACACGCAACAAGTAAAACACTAAAAGTAAAATGACTACACAGCTGCCAATAATTCCCAAGGAGTTCAGTGGTGCTTACTCTTGAGTAGATACACACAAGCACTGTATGTCTCCATCTGAGCATCGTGTTTGACAAACTACTATGCTGAGGACAACATAACATACATTATTCCAGGGTCTTCAAAGATGGAGGGTATCACTGGCAATGTAAAAAAGCGTCAAATTAGTATGTTTTAACCATATTGGGTCTTAAAAGTGATTATTGGTGTACACTTTTTGTAAATTTAGAAACAAATACACATTATGAATTGGAAAAGAGTTTACATTTGCAAAGTTCTGAAAGGATTTTCTGTCCAAGTTAGATTGGAAAGCTATTTATTACAAGGTAAATCCTTTAAAATTAACTAACATTAACTTTAAAACCCATGGCTGTTTTAGAAAGTGGTCAAAGAGAATATATATATTTTTCATTAGTGCTGTGTCCATGATTTTAGCATAAGAGATTGTGAGAGCTACAGTTGAAAACCATCTCAAGAACTAGAGATTCAGTTAGCTCCTCTTATACATTAGAATACTTGACAGATACAAACAGACATGTGTTATAACACTCTGCTGGAAAATGGTTAGTTTTACAATCGTTGGCTTTTCGGATGCATTAGAAATACTGCTAATTTAAAAAAGATTAAGAATTCATTTTAAGCCTTCTGGTACAACTTAACACTGACATTGCAAACAGATGGAAAACAACAGGTATTGGAGAAAAAGTCTCAACACAATCAAGCTTGGAACATTCTGACATAGATCAAGAATATATTTCACCAAATAGAAGAGATTTTGCATTTGGCACACTGGCAGGGTCACAAGAAATATACAGAAATGCGAAACAAGGCAAAAGAGATGAGATACGCCATCTATTCTGACATGAAAGTTGAAGTTCATTTTCGACATGGCTCAATTTAAGATTCTGGCCATTGCAGACGAAGCATACATTAAATAATACGTTATTTCTCATCTCAGCCAATATTCCTAGTCAGTGGGATGGCGGTGAAGGTAATGAAGATGGAATTTGGCAAATGCAATAAGCCTGATACAAATAAGACCCTATTCCTTCATTGAGGCAGCCAAGTACAATGTGTAGAGCGGGGGTCTTCAAACTTGGCCCTGTTATGACTTATGGACTTCAGCTCCCAGAATTCCTCAGCCAGCGTGTCTGGCTGAGGGCCAAGTTTGAAGACCCCTGGTGTAGACACTTCCAGGAGGGTTTCTGGTGTGGTGACATTCAGATACATCACCCATCTCAGGATGCCTTGCTCTCAACAGCTCAAGAGGATCCTATATCCTTGAATTCACTCATTCCATACTGATGGGAAATTGGTGATCTAGTTTTTTGAAGCTCCCATCATCAAAAGTTGGAAGGAGATGAATAATCTGGCTAGTGTTGTTTTGAGAGCTATTCCTACAGTTGAGGAGTGTGGGGGGGGCTTGGTGATCTCCAAGCTTGGTTATTTTCTTGCAAACATTTCATTACCCAATGAACATCATCAGTGCTAGACTAGGCTAACACTGATGATGTCATCTAGTATGGATAATGAAATATCTGCAAGCAAACAACCAAACTCAGAAGCAGCAACGACCCCTTATTCCAACCTGAGCAATAAATATTCTCCTTTATTGGTACAGTTGAGGTCCTCATCTACCAAATGAAGCTAGCTTGGAGAGGTGAAATTATCCTGGAAAAGGGAAGCAGACTATTGATTGGTGATTCTTCATCACAGTTAATGATGGAGCTGTTCAAACAAGCAGGAGTGCCCAGCAATTGTTTGGGTTAGCAACCCCCACTCGAAGTCATAAACTCTACCTTCTTATATAATACTTTTGATATTTTTTTCACAGCCAAATGTAAAAGCAGATACACATTTTGAAAGCATAGGATCATGGAAATAACCATAAAGGTCATCTAGTCCAAATCCGTCGCTCGGAGCAAATTTCACTAAGACATTTCTGATGACCAACCAACCACCATCTGAAGATCTCCAGTGAAGAAGGTCTGGATGACAACTCATAAAGTCTGGAAGTTCTTTGATGTCTAATCTAAACCACCACCTTGTTGCTTTAACCACTGGTCCTGCTCTCTGGAGCAACAGAGAATAAGGCCATTCCCTTTTCTATATAACCTTCTTCAAGTGTCATGTCTCATCTGCAGCTAAACTGTTGCCGTGATGGCACAGGGGTTAGATTATAGTATTGCAGGCTAATTCTGCCAAATGCCAGCAGTTCGATCCTGACCTGCTCAAGATTGACTCAGCCTTCCATCCTTCTGAAGCTGGTAAAATGAGGACCCAGATTGTTGGGAGCACGTTGCTGACTCTGTAAACCGCTTAGAGAGGGCTGTAAAGCACTGTGAAGCGGTATATAAGTCTTAAGAGCTATTGCTATTGCTAAACATACCCCAGTCTTTTAATTTTTTCTCATAGAGCTTTATTTCTGGACCCCTCATCATCTTGATAGCTCTCCTCTGATCTGTTGTTTTTTATGTTCTGAACTCTGTGCTGAGACAAATCAGTACTTTTCTTTTTACAGATGTATCACACTGCTGGTTCGTATTTTCCTTGTGGTTGACAAGGGCACCCAATCCCTCCCACATATATTACCATCAACTCAGATCTCCCTGTCTTGGCTATGTTGAAAGAAGCCATTTCCATTTAAACCAAAACCCTTCTAGTCAGCAAACATTCGGTGTAACCAGGTCCATATTTTCATAGAAAAGGATATCCAAAGAGTTCACCTTTCACTGATCTAAGAACACGTAGAAGTTTTTTGTTTTGTTTTTTCAAACGTGTCGCGTGGCAATAATTTATCTCTGTCCCATGCACCTGAGGAGTAATTTCTGAGAAGTAATTCATTCTCCTAGGACAATTTTAATAAACGGTTTTGGAACAGGCTTAATCAAATGAATAGTGTTTCCATACAGTAGTGTAAAGTTTGGGCTCGGATCAAGGGGGATTTTTAAATTAAATGGTCACCACCCCTGATCCCCTAAGGGGTGCTGTGATCCCCTTGCAAAAAAGAGAGAGAGAAAGAAAATGTGCAAACTTCAAAGCACAAAGCTCGGTGACAGTAAAAGATTTGTCCTACATTTACTTGACAGCTTGGAAACGTCTGACATTGATCGAGGAGCATTTCCTACACTTCTTCAGCTGTCCCCAAAACTCCATAGTGTTGCTGAGAATTCTGGGATGCCCAATTCATGCAGGCAATAGCCAACTTGTTGGGCCACAAACCACACTTCCCGTTTGGCACTCCTTTTCGGTTAGCTGTCTTCTCACCCAAGAATCCCTCATGAGCTTCTGAGGAACTTTTAACCAGCCCACGGCTCTGTTAACAATTCCATTCCCCGCTGCTGCAGTCACCATTTTCATCCTCATCCGAGTCAGCTGAGACCTTCTTAATCCTCTGGATGGCTGCCTTGATGCTTTGCTCCAGTTCACTGCCGGAACCCTTCGCGACACCTTCCTTGGGCTCTTGATTGACCTTCCGTAGTTTAACCCCCTGCCTAATGGCAGCGAGAATGCTGTCATTGAGAGAGTTGCCGCTGGACGGTGCCTGTTGGGGCAGGTCCACTTTGCGAAGGAGGACTTCGCCACGCTTGAGGGAAGCCAAGACCTCATCCATGGTCCCTGAGGTGGAACAAGTTAAAACAATGTCATTCTTGGACCAATAAATAAATCTGAGAAGAAGGTTACCTCAGGCAGCCTTGTGTGGACTTACAAACCTGGTTTCGTCAAAAACAGAGCTGCTTATCGGTCTATAATTTCCCAGATGTAGCATTCTGTTTTATTTTACGGCCAACTATTGTGGAATATTTTGTATGGCTTGTTTCTTTTGATATTCTATTTTTATTGTATGCCTCCCAGGGTCACGTTTACGTGATCCCCTTTGGCGGCCTTCTGACAAGCAAAGTCAGTGTGGAAGCCGGGTTCACTTAACCAGCGTGTGACTAACTTAACAACGGCAGTGATTCACTTAACTGAGGTGGCAAGAGTAAAATGGGGCGAAACTCACTTTAAGATAAGATAAGATAACCTTTATTGTCATTTTTTTTACTGTGGGCACAATGGCACACATCAAAAATGAAATTTAGTTGCCCGCTCTCAAAGTGAAACACATACATGACACACCCCTAAACATATTATATACAACATATGTATAGACCTACACCCTTACATATAAGTAACATATAAATATTAATCACTGTCCATCTTGAATGCATAATGGAAGGAGGAAGCTTGAGAGTTTACAAGGTTAATGCTGTATGGAATGAAACTGTGACTGAATCTGGATGTTCTGCTTCGGATACCACGAAGTCCCCTCCTCCCAGAAGGTAACAAGGAAAACAGGTTGTGAAGAGGATGTGTAGTGTCCCAGATAATCTTACAGACCCTGCTCAAGCAACGCTTATGTGCCATGTCCTGGATGGGAGGGAGGGAACTGCCAATGATCTTTTCGGCCATTTTCACCTCTCTCTGTACCGCCTTCCTGTCTGAAGCAGTGATGTCTCCAAACCAGACTGTGATGCTGTATGATCGTCCCCCTGTAGAAAGTGGTCAGGACAGGGGAAGGAAATTTTGGCCTCAGTGGCCATAAGTTGAGGACTACCTGTAGTGTGTGTGTGTGTGTGTGTGTGTGTGTGTGTGCAGAAGAAAAAGAGCGCTCTATCCCTTTACCTGTATAATTCTTGGTTGGGCATCTGGATGCAACATCTGCTTTCTCCAGGGAAGTATTTTCTTTAGCCGAGCCTTTGCACACAAGAGGCCGTGGTTTATCTTGGGCGCCTGTGCTTTTGAGGCAAACAGTCTGGACACTTGGCAGCGGTGGCGGTGGAGGAGGAAGAGGAGGTGGGGGTGGGGGCACAGAGAGGGGTGCCCCACCACCTCCTTCCTTGGGAGGCTCCGGCCCACGTGGTGGCACAAAAATCTGGATGGGAACATCTCTGGAAGGCTTCCGACATGGTGCTTTGGAAGTCCTGACTTGTGCCGGATGGACATTCCTGGATGGCTTGGCAGCTGGACCCTTTCTGACTGAACCAGCCTGTGGGGAAACTGCGGGAGGTCGTCGTGGTCCAGCCTGCTTGGAGTTGACGGGCTGAGAGCGGGAAGTCTTTAGCACAAACTCCGCAGGGCATTTCTGCAAGGTGAGAAGGCGTCAGTTTGGGGAAACTGCCCATGAACCAGCAGCCCGATTTGAAAAAAAGGTGAGCTGGCTGCAATTAGTCCACTGTGGCCATCAAACCCTTGGACATCCCAAAGGTGCTTTTCCAAAAGGCAATTGGACTTTCTTGGGGTTTTTTTTTCCTTTCGCTTCTCATCCAAGAAGATTCTTCAGTTCATTGAGAACTGAAGAAGCTTCTTGGATGAGAAGCAAAATGTTTTTCAAGGAAAAAAAAAACACAAAGAAGTCCAGCTGCCTTTTGGAAAAGTACCTGTGGTGCAACCATCACCTGGATGATTGAGAATCTCCATAGACCAGTAATGGCGAACCTTTTAGAGACCGAGTGCCCAAACTGCAACCCAAAACCCATTTATGTATCGTCGGGTGCTGGGTGGGCGTAGCCCATTGGGTGGGTATGACCCGTTGGGTGGGCGTGGCCCATTGGGTGGGTGTGGCTGCGGTGGTAACGGCAGGCTGGGTGGGACTAAAAAATTCAATCAATCAATTCCAACTTTGCAAGATCTTTTTTTTTCCCGCGAGAAGTTGAAATGGACTGAACTTTTTTTTTTTTTTGCACACAGCGGCGGAGGCCTAAAGCAAAAAGGTTTTATAAAACCCAGCTGAAGGCCTAGGACTGGGGCAACGGCGCGCGTGCCCACAGAGAGGGCTCTGAGTGCCGCCTCTGGCATCCGTGCCATAGGTTCACCACCACTGCCATAGACAAACCCATAGATGTGTTTTCCATATCCCATGGGTTTCTAAGAGTCCTGATGGTCTTCACATAACATGCTCAGCCAGCTCAGTGGAAGGCCTAACAGTGTCATCTGTTTTGACATGTAAAGCTGGATGAATGTTGACCTTGAGGATGTTTCTCTTTGGCTTAGTATGATTCTTTCAACCCAGCCCTGTCTGTTTAGTTTATGACTTGATGTACATGACTGTAAACTAGGTGGAGCTTCAATCTGTTCTAGCAAGTCTCTTATTTAGAGTTATATCCAGAAGGCGTGACAGCAGCCCAGCAGCAACTAAAAAGACCTCATTCTCCCCCACCACCACCACTGTTAAAGCAGCTCTTTGTGTAGAAAGATGAGCTTTATCGTTTTCCTGTACATGCCACTTCCGTTGTGCTTTCATTCCAATATTCTCTCCCTAAACCACAGGAGCATAGCTGCATCAACGTGACACTGATTAAATTCTGCGCAAGACCTATCGATGCCCTCCTTGTGGTTCCTAAATCCAGAGCTGTTATCTCATGATTGATGCTGTCCTTGCGGCTGACCAGGCCAGGCCACTAATAATCAGTCCTTGTTTCTATTTTCCAAAGCAAAATATTCTGCAAGAGTGCCGAAGAACGAGATAAATTGTGATACTTGCCTCCTTGAATGATTTTAGCCTCTCCAGAGTTTTCTGCCGCTCCTCCTTTATCCAGGCTTTTTTCTTTTTCTCATCTTCTTTTCTCATCTCTCTTTTCTGCAGGTTGAATGACAACCCTTAACGGACACATATAGAACTCTGTTTCCAGTGCAACTAAGTAGTTTCAAACATTGCAATGTTAAGGGGGAGGGTAACAAATTGCCTAAATTATGGAATGGGCTCGGGGAAGGCAGAAGAGGAAGAGGAAAAAGGGAAAGGGGAGAAATTAAGGGTGTTGTGCAGTATTTCTGATCTGATTTCCAAAAAACTGCTCTGGAATCTGCCACACCTGAGTGCCACACCTGAAAGCAGCTGTGAAAGGCAGATGTGCAATCTCAGGAAAAAAGTGTGGCTGCTTTAAGGAGTTACAGACAGATGCTATATTTGCACTCTTGTATGAAGCATTAAAAAAAAAGTGCTGCCCAGCCCTGGAATTTATATAGAATTAATTATGAGTCTACATAAATACCTCTTCCCTTAACAGTTGATTACCTTGTTTAGATTCTCGTTTATTGGTCTGGGACCATAAATAAATGTTGTTATTATAATTGTTGTTGTTGTTGTTAGAATTTCCCATGAGATCCACCCACTCGTAAGCAATCCTAACGTATATCTGCTTGGAGAAAACCAATGCGCACACAATGAAGCCTTGCTTAGAAATGGACAGAAAGTAAAATTGTGCTCTCAGCTCCAAACTCCAGAAAATTGAAAGTCTGTAGCTAAGAGCAATATATAAATGGAATCACTCTAAAGAGGTAAAGGTGTCTCCTGTCCAGTTGTGTTCGACTCTAAAGTGCAGTGCACATCTCTGTTTCTTGGCTGAGGGAACCAGCGTCATCCCAAGACATTTCCATGGCCATATGACCAGCATGACTATATTCTAAAGTGCACAGAAAGTTGTTACCTTCCCACCAAAGTGGTACCTATTTATCTACTTGCATTTACAGGCTTTCAAACTGCTAGGTGAGCAAGAACTGGGGCAAGGAACGGGAGCTCACCCGTTCAGTGCAGTGCTCAGGGGTGTCAGCTCTCCAGATGACAACCTCAGCGTCTTTAACCACTGAGCCACTTTGCCAAAATAACAAGTAAAATATATTTAATATATTTTACTTGTTATTTTGCCCCCAGGCCATTAAATCTTTAAAATGTGAGCTCTGGAAATGAGCAAAGTGTCTATCTGGGAGCTACATGCAATTTGCGGCTTGTTCAGTCCAAGCCTAGTTTAGAATAATAATAATAATAATAATAATAATAATAATAATAATAATAATAATAATAATAATAATAATAATAATAATAATAATAATAATAATGATAAAGTTGAAAGGGACCTTGGAGGTCTTCTAGTCCAACCCCCTGCTCAGGCAGGAAGCCCTATACCATTTCAGACAAGTGGCTGTCCAGTCTCTTCTTAAAAACTTCCAGTGTTGGAGCATTCACCACTTCTGGAGGCAAGTTGTTCCACTGGTTAATTGTTCTAACTGTCAGGAAGTTTCTCCTTAGTTCTAGGTTGCTTCTCTCCTTGATCAGTTTCCACCCATTGCTTCTTGTCCTGCCTACAGGCGCCTTGGAGAATAGCTTGACTCCCTCTTCTTTGGGGCAGTCTATATCAGTCTATATCAATCTATACCCCCATCAAGTTGTGGGGTACTACAGCTTCCAATTAACGGGTGCCTTTTCGGTTTTGAAATGGCACATAGCCATCCTGTATTATGAAGGCTACCTAGACTGCCTTCAAAATAAACTAAACTAAACTAAAAATAAAGTCTGCATTTTGTTGCTTTTTTTTTGCACAGACCACACTGACCCCTCTTATAACTTGAAACAGAACGCTCTCTCTACTTTCCCCTTCTCGATACATACAATCTGGACGCTGTGATGCTGCTGGAAGTAGCGTGTGGTCTCCTGTGCCTGCTGCAGCCTCAAACGCCGGCTCTCTTCACATTGGTCCTGAGAGAGGAAAGAAACCAGCGTAAAAATTCCACGGGCCGAAATCTGAAGAGTCAGGGGGAAATGATTTACCACTGAATCAGAATGCCAGGTTCATAGTTTTGCAACTTTCTACTTGCCCTGAACTTTTTTAAAAAAAAAAAAAAAAAAGTCAAGCCCCCACGCAAAGGATTATGGGAAAAAGACATAACTTAGAATCATTTGCGAACAAAATTGTTCCATCTCCAGGTAGGGTTGGAAAACACCCTTGTTCGAAATTCTGAAGAGTTTCTCCCAACTGGTGATAATCAGGAGCTCGGTGGGCCAGCATCATGTTGGGAAAAAAAAATTCTACTGAATCTCTAATGGTCACTTCCAGCCAAGAAAAACTGATTCTCAACTGACTCTCATTAGTTAGATCTATATTGCATGGGGAAAAGGGTTAGATTACGTACAGACTCTTGCTAACTGGTTGTATGTACTTTAGCTCCTGTTAATCAGCAGTAGGTTAACACTGGGCCTCCTTCATGCCTTTGATCCTATCTCCTGACCCAAGGGAGGCACTAATCCCCTGCCCCCACTTTGCTTAATAATTATTCCTTAACAAAAGGAATCATTGGGCAAACAGCCACCCCCAATGCCAGGCCAAGTGAAATCCATCAAGCCTCTTTTTTTTACAGCTCTACAAATTCCATGCAAAAAGAATCAACGTTTCTGCCCGGATTCCCAAGTCCATATTTTTAGACTGTTTTCTAATGTATGAATTATTGTCCTAGTGTTTAATTTACACACATTTAAAAAAAAAAACCCAATAGGAGCTACAGGGTCTGAAATCCTGGAGTTATGGATAACAGGGATCCAAATTCAGCTATCCTCAGACAGCTTGTGATCCTCCAATCTTATTGGTTAATTTGGTTTCCGGGATCGTTCCATCATAATATGGGATGGTTATGCTAGGAGCTGTAGTTCAGCAACATCTGAACTCCATATAGTTTAGAGATGTTAGGTCTAGGACAGGGGTTCCCAACCCCCGGGTTGCGGACCAGTACTGGGCTGTGGCATGTCAGAAACCGGTCCACACAAACAAGCAAAGCCACATGTGTGGGATACTGGCAGCACACAAAACCATGCACTCTCTGGTCTATGGAAAAACCTCTCTCCACGGAACCAGTCCCTGGTGCCCAAAAGATTGGGGACCTCTGGTCTAGGAGATGCTGTTTTCCCAAGGTGGGAAATCCACCGCCTAAATTCTGTTGTTGTTTTTTCAAGAAGAATCCAGAAGCATCCCAAGACTCAACAGATGTGCCACGTTTGTCAAAGGTTCCTCTTTCTGAACCAGTTACCTTCTTGTTCCTGAGATATGCTCTCCTGGAGCAGATAATGCCCCGTTTTGTCTCCAGCTGCTGGGTCTTCTGCCTGAGCCGTGCCACCTCAGAAGAAGAGGCACGGCTTTCTTCCAGGGCCCGATCCATAGCTTCCAATTCCTCAGAGTTTTCACAGGTGTCATAATAAATCACTTCATCTTGGATCTCTATAGAAGGAGCAAGGATTTCAGTACGTAAACCTCTCCTGCCAGCTTTACCGCCTTGCTAGAAAACTCAAAGACATTCGCTGATAGTTGTGGTCCTTTAACTCCAGTTGAAGACTTGGGGCATATGGTAAACAACCAGAAGTCTTTCAGATCCACTAATATAGTATCTAGTATCTAGTGCAGTGGTTCTCAACCTTTTTAATGCTGTGACCCCCAACCGGTCGTAAGTCGAGGACTAAACCAGTCGTAAGTCGAGGACTAAACCAGTCGTAAGTCGAGGACTAAACCGGTCGTAAGTCGAGGACTACCCAACCAGTCATAAGTCAAGGACTTTCCCTGCCTGGGAGCACCGCGCATGCGTGGTTCCGCCCCCTGCGCCGACCGAGGCGTAGCTGGCAAGCGGCAGAGACGGAGCAGGCCGACCACCAGCTGGCCCAGCCCAAGGGAGGTAAGGCACCCGCCGGAAAAGGGGGGAAAAATGGCGGACAAAAAAAATGGTGGACAAAAAAAATGGCGGACAGCCTTGCTTGTCGACCCCAAATGGTCGATCGACCCCAAATGGGGTCCCGACCCACAGGTTGAGAACCACTGATCTAGTGCCTAATGGATCAATATTAGGAGCAATGACTGATTTTCCATATGCATCCACTGTAAGTGGAGAATAGTGGCATCTGCAAATGGCGGGCACAATGGGGATATATTTACAAAAGGGGCGGGGCTTCCATCGTGACAGTTCATCTCTATCTTGCCTGTTTCAACAAGCTGCTGGAGGAAGATTTATTTTGTGTTTTCCAGATTGGTATGTTTTGATTGCATTAGTAATACCTGGGGAATTATGTCTGTGGAGATTCTCAATCATCCAGGTCAAGGTTGTCCCAAAGAGGTTTTTCCAAAAGCAGCTGGACTTTTTTGGAGTTTTTTTCCTTGAAAACTTTTCACTTCCCATCCAAGAAGCTTCGTCAGTTTTGAAGAACTGTAGAAACTTCTTAGATGAGAAGTGAAATATTTTCAAAGAAAAAAAACACACAAGAAAGTCTAGTTGCCTTATAGAAAAGCATCTTTGGGACCCGGGGAATTAGATAATGCAGTGCCTTAAGGCCGGGCTATAATTAAGAGATTGAAAAATTAAAAACCTCCTTTTTTTGTAGTTTCTTTTCTGTGGTTTTTAAAAGAATCTTAAATTTGGAACAGTCAGATTTAAATGGCAGATTCTGTAGATAAATGTTACCTATTTTCCACTGCACTTTTCTCTGACATGTTTTTTTTTTCCCCCACGCCTTTACCCCCTCCGTCCTCCAGAAATGCATTTATTGCAGAAATGCAGCAAAGGAAGAATTCTCCTGTTTTAATTGAGGGCCAACGAGAAATAGCCTGGCTGAGATTAAAATGCAAAGCAAGCCCAGGCAATATATTCTGTCTTCAGTCCTCACCTTTGATCTGCCTTCTCAAAGTCTCCAGCTGCGTAACCAACAACATTTCTTCATTCTTCAGTATTTCAAACTGTACCTCATACAGCTCCAACTGGGTTTCATAATACTCTAATTCCAGTTTTTCCACTTGAGCCACGTCATTTTTCTGCTCGCCGAGTGTCTCCATCTTGGGAAATTTCCAAACAAAACAGGAAACAACTTTAAGGCCACGAATATTACACGCAAAATGAGACCTTTTGGGAGAGGCTGGTTGAGATGATAATGGTGGACAACTCTGTAGCATTCTGGAAGATGTGGGATTATCTGGATCCTAATTTTCAGTCCCAATCCAGATCCAGGCATAGGATAGATATGGCTTTGCATGCTCTCCTAGATCAGGGCTTTTCAACCTTTTCACCCATTGTACCACTTTTAGGATATGGCAACATCCGAGTACCACCAGTCGCCTAGCAAGGTGTCAAAAACGTGATGACCCCTCCCCCAAAAAGGAAAAAAGTGATAAAGTACAGGTAGACCTCGACTTACAACAGTTCGCTTAGTGACTGTTCGAAGTTATAATGGCACTGAAAAAAGTGCCCCCCAAGCCACAGCTGAGCAAGACACCTGCCTGCCCGCCCAGCTGCGCTCTTCCTCCTGTCCGAGGTTTTCATTGTTGTGAGCATTTCTGTTGAGGATTGGCAGCGGGGGTGCGGGGTGTTTGGCTTTTATTCCCCCCCCCCCATCTGCTGGGTGGTTGCAGCAGGTTTTGGTCACTTCACATGACCCTGGGACACTGTGACCGTCATAAATATGAATCAGTTGCCAAGCATCTGAATGTAAATCACAAGACCCTGGAGATGCTGCAACATTCCAGCTGATCGGCGCTTCTTCTGGGCTCAGCAGAAGAGCCAGGATCAGTGCTGCTTTCCAGCTGGAGCCTGGCGCTGATCCTGGCGCTTCCACTGAGCCCTAAAAGCCCCGAAGAAGTGCCGATCAGCTGGAAAGGGGCACTGATCCTGGTGCTTCCGCTGAGCCCTGACAGTCCTGCAGCTCCAGCCATCTCTCGCTCAGGCTTGTGCGATGCTGCCACTGGTTCAGCTCATTCCCCTGCCCCGCTACCACTTTTCTAGGATGGTCACGTACCACCTGCCAGGTGCCAATGTACCACCGGTGGTACCCGTACCACTGGTTGAAAAGCCCTGTCCTAGATGAGCTGGATGGAGGTAGTACACTTTTTCTGACCCTTTTAGACTTCTTGATGGTTTTTGATATCATCAGCCATGATATCTTGCTGGACTGCCTGGAGCAGGCGTCTTCAAACTTGGCTCTTTTATGACTTGTGGGCTTCAACTCCCAGAATTCCTCAGCCAGGCATGCCTGGCTGAGGAATTCTGGGAGTTGAAGTCCACAAGTCATAAAAGAGGGCCAAGTTTGAAGACCCCTGGATTAATCCATCGCAAATGCAATAAGGAAAACCTAAGTATAATCAAGTTCCGTTGTCCCAGTTGTATTTTTCTAACATTTGACTTCACTGGTTGGTGTTCTGCCCATTTTTTTTTCAGTTTCAGTGCTATTACAGCAAATGGACATTCTGTGTCACAAAAAGCCTCTTGTAATCTACTCTGAAAGCCTCTTATCACAGTTTTATCAGAGTATGGATGCAGGGGAACAGGGAGTGGGGAACAGGGAGTGGGAGAAATATCCTTACCTGCTTTCTGATATCGACTCTTTTGTGTTTCAGGCACAATTCTCTGGCTCTCATATGCTGAAGGGTTTCTTTTGCTAGCAGATATTTTAAGTTTTCTAATCTTGGAGACGCCGAGGCCCAGGCAGCCTGGCCAAATCGCTTTTGATCTTGCTCCATCTGTTTGTGCATTGCTGAGGAACAAGTACGAAAGAAAAATGAAGCACAAGTAAGTCTCGGCTTGGCTAAAAAAGAATCTTGCACTTCCTTCTCCAGGAAAAGGCAAGCATCTTAAAGGTATATAAAACGGGAAATGATATGGCCCAATAAAGTACTCTAAACAACTCTAAGAATTCATTTTAAACATTTGTTATGAATCTTCTCCTTCTTGTGCCATATCCGTTATCGGACGTTGGCGATCCTGTTGGATATCCTGTTTTTATCCGCAGCCGCACGAAAAAATGCTGCTGAGTTTGGGCCAAACCAGTCCTTTAGATTTTGAAGCCACGATGTTCTTCTTCTGCCTGGACCTCGTTTGCCTTCAATCTTTCCCTGGAGGATTAAATGGAGTATGCCGTATTTTTCTGGGTGTCCGAAATATTCTAATTTTTTGTTTTTTAATTGTTTTGATGATTTCCCTTGGCTTTCCCAGGCAGTTTGTTATGAATGGAATATACAAAAAGAGAAGGTCAAAGAACACAAGGCAGACCCAGAAAAAGATGGAAAGAAATTAACTGTGGCTGAGGCCACAAGAAGGGCAAGAACCAGAACTTTGTGGAGGAGGAGGAGGAGGAGGAAGAAGACGAAGACGAAGAAGAAGAAGAAGAAGAAGAAGAAGAAGAAGAAGAAGAAGAAGAAGAAGAAGAAGAAGAAGAAGAAGAAGAAGAAGAAGAAGAAGAAGAAGAAGAAGAAGAAGAAGAAGAAGAAAAGAAAAAAAAAGAAAAGAGAAGAAAAAGGAAAAGGAAAGAAAAAGAAAAAGAAAAGAAGAAAAGAAAAAGAAAAAGAAAAGAAAAAGAAGAAAAGAAGAAGAAAAAGAAGAAAAGAAGAAGAAGAACAACAACAACAACAACAACAAACGGAACTAGGAGTTGCTGAGGAAAGCAATTGTTACAATCTCTCGATTTCAATATATTTAGGAGAAGGAAGCAAACAGATTCCAAAAGCACTGATTTTCCATACACCATACCTCGGGTTATACCTGCTCTCCTAGCCTGGCCTATATTGCCATCACGGCCACCACTTTAGATTTTCTGAATGAAAGTCTGTTGTGCTTGTTTCCCTCTCACCTGCGAGTGCAGTCACGGTTTCCTTGAAGTAGCCAACTGTGACGTTTTGAATGGAGCACACGGCTTCCTCTGCTCGGTCGGTCCATTCCTTCGCCTCTTTCTGCAACGCTTCTATCCTTCTGGGGCCCAGTCGGTTGGCTTGCAAGGATTTCTGCCAGGAGAGATATTTTAACATTTCCGTTCAAACTGGTGCCGATCATCAATTCCCACCACCAAGAGGCTGCTCTTAGAGCTGCTGCATTCATCTATTAACACAGCTTCATTCATCACTATTATTCTGAACCGTATAGCTCTATGTAACCTCGTATAGCTCTATGTAACCCTAACTAGAGAGCATGTATCAGTATGTTAGTAATAGGTCAGTGGGAGGAGTTTCTAAAGGGCATTGAGAAACTTCCTGGACACTAGCCACATGGGGGTCTTTGTTCATCTTGTTCATGGCATCCAGCCACATGGCTGGAGATCCCATAATCATCCCACCATGTGACGCTTGGGCAGAAGAGGGGAAAATCCAACATCAATTTACCTATGGGAATGAACAGAGAGGTGTTAAGCCAGGAGTAACCTCGTGGATCCAGGTATTTCTTCTGCAATAAACATTATCTGTTTTAAAATCATTTCTATTGAGTGGTCTGTCTGCCTCGGATTGAACAACCTGGCTAGCCACCAGCCTGTGTTCTGTTTGGGTCAGAACAACTATGTCTTATGCAAATGGGAAACAGGTTCCAAGGTGGAGAGATGTCTCTGGAGATTCTCAATCATCCAGGTCACGGTTGTCCCAAAGTTGCTTTTTCAAAAGACAACTAGACTTTCTTGCGTCTTTTTTTTCCCCCTTGAAAACATTTCGCTTCTCACCCAAAAAGCTTCTTCAGTTCTGACTGAATGGTGAGGAACAGACGGATTTATATTCTTTGCAGTCATCTAGTTGTTAGCACTCTGAAGGTTAGTTGTTAGCTCTCTGGGAGTTGTGGAGGCCATTTGGGTGTTTACTGGTATCCTCAGAGTCAGTCAGAACTGAAGAAGCTCCTTGGATGAGAAGTGAAATGTTTTCAAGGAAAAAAAAAAAGAAGAAAGTCCCATTGCCTCTTGGAAAAAAAGCACCTTTGGGACAAGCGTGAGAGAGATGGAGTCCCGATTCTTGTGGTCCATAAATTGCAGATTCTCCAAGAAAGCAGAAGTGATACTGTTTGAAATGAACACGCGTAGCCCACATGTTGGTTTTCAAGAAACAAAATTTAGTTTTCTCACACACAAATGAGTTGTTCCCACGAGATTTCTAACTTTATCAGGAGAGGGTGGGTTAACGCACGGGGGGGGGGGGGAACCTCTGGAAATTAATCTCCAGGGGAAATATTGCTCAGCAAAACACAAAGGCCGCAGACTGCCTATCCCAGTGATGGCGAACCTTTTAGAGACCGAGTGCCCAAACTGCAACCCAAAACCCACTTATGCATCGGCGGGTGCCGGGTGGGTGTGGCCCATTGGGTGGGCATGGCTGTGGTGGTAACGGCAGACTGGGTGGGACTAAAAAGTTCAATCAATCAATTCCAACTTTGCAAGATCTTTTTTTTTCCCGCGAGAAGTTGAAATTGATTGATTGAACCTTTTTTTTTTTTTTTGCACATGGTGGCGGAGGCCTAAAGCGAAAAGGTTTTATAAAACCCAGCTGAAGGCCTAGGACTGGGGCGACAGTGTGCGTGCCCACAGAGAGGGCTCTGAGTGCCGCCTCTGGCACCCGTGCCATAGGTTCACCACCACTGGCCTATCCCAAATCAAACCTGCATTTGGTGCTGATGCACTGTAAGCCCCGGTTGTTTTTTTCTGACATCTCCCTTGAATTTTTAATTTTGTCGGAATGAAGAATTTCTAAAACTCAAAAAAGCAGGATAGCGAGATGAAAAGGTGATATCAACTTTTTGGCACTATTACCTAATGTACAAAAGTGGGAATTTCTGAAGGGATATTTTATAATATGAAAAGCTATGGTGATTGAAATCTGTACATCCTTAAGACTTGGAATAATTTTGGGTTTTTTTTGTTTTTTTTAAAGAATAAAAACTTACCCGAATCTCAAGTCTATATAATGTGGCCAGTTCTCTCATGTCTCGGAAAGGTAACAATAAATATTGATAGAATTCAGTTGCCACAGTAACCAGCTCCCAATAAGCTTCCTCTTCTTCCTTGTACAGCTCCATTAAATCTACCAGTTTAACAGCATCTTTGTGCTTGTGGAGAACCTGCCAAGATGGTAATAAAGTTTGAGAATTTAGAATAGAATAGAATAGAATAGAATAGAATAGAATAGAATAGACAGATTGTAGAATGGAATAGAATAGAATAGAATAGAATAGAATAGAATAGAATAGAATAGAATAGACAGATTGTAGAATAGAATAGAATAGAATAGAACAGAATAGACAGATTGTAGAATAGAATAGAATAGAATAGACAGATTGTAGAATAGAATAGAATAGAATAGACAGGTTGTAGAATAGAATAGAAAGATTGTAAAATAGAATAGAATAGAATAGACAGATTGTAGAATAGAATAGAATAGAATAGAATAGAATAGAATAGAATAGAATAGAATAGAATAGAATAGAATAGAAACTTCATTGTCACTTTAAATGTACACTATTTATTTATTTATTTATTTATTTTATTCCATTTATATCCCGCCCTTCTCCTTACCGGACTCAGGGCGGCTGACAGCCTTATAAAACAGATACTACAATAAATACCTAATTTAAAACCAAATTAAAAAGAAATATTACTATGGCCTATATAATTAAAATTTCTCTTAAAAACCCCACTAAAAATTCCCTAGGCCAATCCCGCCTGTTGGAAGAGCCATGTC